TTAAACATATTTCCACTAGGGGGTGAGAAGCACATGCTTTCACTATACTAACACATTTCTTTCACTTAATTCTTTGATTTTCTTTTCATTCTGTGTTATATAACACCATGCCCCCCCCCAAAAAAAAGAAAAGGTTTACCTCCATGCCACTCAAGTTTTAATGTGCTTATAAATTACATGAGACTATGATTAAAATTCAGATTCCACCCTTGAAAATATTGCCCAGAGATAATCTTTAAACCTGAAACCAAAACTATCCTTGAAGTCTTCTTAAAATCAAGTAACAGTTAGGTTAACTAGTAAAGAATGCCTACCTTGAGCACGGTCCTCATTTAACATTTATCTACTTAGTATCCAACTGACAACAGCAACTTGAAGAATTAGATAGGAAACTTAGGGGGCAGTGAGTTTATGTTAACAGGGGATGAGCTATTTGGAAAAAGAAGGTGGGAATGATTACACAACTCAAAAAATGTAATCAATGTCATTGAATTGTACATGCAACACAAATTGTTGAATTTCTGTATGTTTTGCAGTATATATTCTGAACAACAAAAATATGAATTATTAAAACACATACACAATGGATTTGAAACAACAACAAAAAAATTCTGATTCTGATATAGTAAGTCCAGAGTGGGGTCTGTAATTCTGCATTTTTAAGTAGCTTCCAGGTAATGTAAGTGCCACTTGTCCAAAAGTCATACATTGAGTAGTGACAGTCTAGAAGACTGAGTATTAGTTTCTCCAGTTACTTAGATTACATGAGCATAGCTCTCACATTTTGCTCTACCAAATGAACTACTGTTGGGAAGAAGAAATCAAATTTAGTGTAAGTGGGATTGGGATCAAAGAGCATTTCCCCAAAGTAAAATATTTACTCATTTGTTCACATATTTCTTTACTCTAGGATAAGAGGAACAAATTTTTCCATTAAGAAGAAACCACTTTCTTCTAAAGTCTGAAGGACAAAGAAGAAGCCTACACTCTTTCCACCATTTAAGATGTGTACAAAAAATGTATATTAGGCTGTAATTCCTATGGTTGGTATGAAATCTTATCTATAAATTAATCCAAAGTAATAAAAGACTGTTGGTAAAATTTGCTAAGCATCTGAAAACAATGAAGGAAAAAAAATATTATATTTATTTTTAGTTGTCACAGTTGTAATAATCAGGCTTCTAATTCAACTTATTCTATTAAACAAGTGAAACAAAGTCATGTTTATTGAGTCTTTACTTCATTATATTCTTATGTATTATAAATACATTATAAATTGTAACCCTTCACTATCGTGTAATTATGTTCATCCATAAAAGTAAAAAATAAATCTAGGTATAGAGAAAGGTTAGCATATGAATGATGTGGATGAAAAGTCTGATGGAGAAACAGTAATTTTTATGCTAGCCTTAGTGAAATTGGTTATTTTCAGAATTTGCCCACAAAATAGTAAGGAATCAGAAAATTTATGAAAATATCTTTTTTAAGAAAGAGAATTTTAACATATTACTG